TATAATGAATTTTGAAATCAAAAGGGGCTAATTGTGCCTGCCACCTAGCAAATATTAACTTAGATGCATCATGTTTAAAATCTTTATCAAACATATACTTGACTGACTGAGTCATCAGTTTTTATCAAGAATTTTTTATTATTATAAATCATCTTGAAATTTTTAATACGTACACTTAACGATAGTTAACATTTCATGAGCTACCGTCGCATATTTTTTCTGAGCATCGCTCCATTTTTCTGAATGAAATTGAATAAGATATTCATTTTTTATCATGCGGATTAATTTGTTTCAATATACCTCCATATTCAATATTAGACGCATCCGTCTCTACAATCTTTGGCCAATCAGGATTAGCAAGGGTTAAACAAGGTAAAGATTTTAACTCTTTCTTTAATAGTCTTTACAAGATCTGTGAGACTATTAGTCCAAGGCTTCTTATGATCCTTTTTTAGCTTGTCATATAACAGAGCTAAATCTCGAGACAATTTTTTGTAGAATGGGGAAATGTAGTTTAAACTTCCCAGAAATCGCTGCAATTGTGTTCTATCTGTAATAATATCAGGGAATTTCGATGCGAATTCAATAGATCGTTGAATAGGAGTCATTTTTCCTTGACAAATCAAATGACCCAAAAATCTAACTTCTGTTTGAAAAAGACTCATTTTAGGTTTAGATATGACCAAACCATTTTGAATAACTATTTGCTTAAAAATGTCTAAATGCTTAAAATGCATTTCAAGAGTCTTTGAGTAAACCAAAATATCATCGTTTTGTATATGCAAGGGATTTGTTCCTCAGTGAAATCTACTTCCGGAACCCATTTATGAATCCATGGAATAGAGAATTCTATAAAAAAATATATATGTTCAATTTGTTGAAAATAACAAATATGTTCTTGATGATATAACTTGTTGTGATCTGGGGAAATCTTGACCCATTCTTTGTATAACTTGAGAAATGGTTCGGGCAATATTTTTATGATTTTTAAAAAATAAAGTAGTACTATATATATATATATATATAAAATTAAAAATTTAGTATGCTTAAAAATAGTAAAAAGTACATAAAAAGTACTACATATTATATTACAATAATTAACAATTATTTGACACTTTAAATTCTATCAATGCCATATAAATTAGATAAAAAAGGTAGCATATAATATTTAAATATATTGTAAAATAATATAAGTAATACTATACTTAATATGCTTTAAAATAGTAAAAACGACATAAAAAGTACTACATATTATATTACAATAATTAACAATTATTTGACACTTTAAATTCTATCAATTCCATATAAATTAGGATAAAAAAAGGTAACATATAATATTTAAATATATTTAAAAATAATATAAGTAATACTATACATTACAATAATTAACAGCTTAATTATTTCAAAGTTATATAAAAAATTTAAATGACTCTCTAAATTCTATTGGTACCACATAAAATGGATTATATGATAAACATATATTGTTTGAAATTGACGAAAAAGAAACAATAAATCACAATAATTAATAAAAAAAATAGTCGACTCCAAAAAATCTATCAATTAATGCCACATAAATTGGGACATGGCAAATAACATATATTATTAAAAAATTAGGTTCAAAATGTACAATAAAATACAATAATTAACAACTTAATATATTAAAAAGACATATAAAAAAATAATTAACAAAATAAATCTCTCGACTCCAACAAATCTATCAATTAATGCCACATAAATTGGGACATGGCAAATAACATATATTATTAAAAAATTAGGTTCAAAATGTACTATAAAATACAATAATTAACAACTTAATATATTAAAGAGACATACAAAAGGGTTAATCTTTGAAATTCTGCATGTGCCACATAAATTAGAACAAAGAGAGTAATAAATATTATTTTCAAAATTATGTTAAAAAAAAGTACTACAAATCACAATAGCTAACAATTTAAAATATTTTTAAAATCATATAAAAATTTCAATAACTTCTCAAATTCCATAATATGACATAAATTAAAATAAAAAAATAATATATATTGGGCTCCGTACTGGCACGGAGTCCTATATCTAGTATATATATACATGGTGATGAGTATCTCTCAATTATTGAACTCCTAATGTCCTACACTAATATTTAAATGAATTTTGGAGTCTCTATTTTCACACTTTCTTTACTCTAGTTGTAACAAAATAATTGAATGTGATTATTAGGTTTGGAAAAGTGAGCAATGTGGTGGAACCCAAATAGCAAAATATGCATCAAAAGCTTGACTTAGACTTAGTGGTCACTGTACAAGCATTATCCCCTTTTTTGTATCTTACTAAAATAAAGATATGATCAATGAAGTGAGTTAAGAATTATGAGGTCTCGAGTCAAATCTCAACAAAGACAAGGGATTATGTGATTTCTTTCATTTGTTCGGTGGATAGAGTTACCTGGTACACCAAATGTTGCTGGTGGGAGGCTGGTGGGAGGTGGTAGATATCATGTAGAATTAATCAAGTGCGCGCAAATTGGTCCGGACACCAAGATTATAAAAAATAATAATAATTAAAATAAAGAAAGTGGTGTCTGAACACCTTTTCCTTTTTTGTTTGTAAATGAATGATGTAAGATGTTGTCTGTACAGCTGTACTGATAGGCTTATATGTGTTGCAATATCTTGTTTCCTTTTTTTAGTTTTGTTATTTTCTCTTTTTTCCAATGACATTCCAGAAAGCTTCATATGTTGAAATTCAAATTTCAAATCTTTGTAGGTAGGATTCTCAAGTACTACAGGGATGAATCTAATCCGGAATATGAACCTTAAAAGAAAATATTTATTAAACTGATTACAAAAATACCAGCTACGACGGTTTATGGGAGAATTGAATATCTACCAATTTACAAGCTTTTGAATTTGCAAACTTTTATTTTTCTTCCAGACTTAAAATCCATTAGGATGCATTTACCAAATGGAATTTTGGACACAATCAATAATAGTCGTGTAAGATTCCACTCAATTTTGGACATTTAGATTTGTGGGCCATTTGTACTCTTTTACCTCCTCACCAACCCACCCAGTTCCCTTATCCACCCACCCACCCCTCTTCTTTTTTCTTTTTCATTTTTCTATCTAATAATAAAAATAAAATTAACTTCCAAATTCACTTTAAAAAAATCAATTTTAGATTGAATTCATGGTACAAATACTTCATTTTACTTTACAGATTTGTCTTACAAAATAAAATCGAAACAGAAAGGAAAAAAAGGTCTTCTTTCTCTTATTTTTATTCATGAGTTCGCTTGTTATTTTTGAACAAGTAGTTATGGAGAAATTTATTTTTTTAGTCAATTTGTTAATTATTGCATGCTAGCTAGTTAGATAAATAGTTTATATTTATTAAAATAATTGCATCTAATTAATTTATATTCTAAAGTGAATGAAACACAGCTAATTTGAGTTTTGACTTAGTTTAATACTAGTATTTGTGTTTTGTGTTTGTTTGATACTATTAAAAATATTGGATAATAATTTTATTTTTTAATATTAACAATTTTAAAGACACTTTAGTTATTCCAACAAATAAGTTATTTATCAATATTCTTTTTAATAAAATACATTATCTCTGCTTCAACATTTTTATCTTTTTATTTCTAAATTCAGCTTAAGCACTTAAAAAGTATTTCTAAGTACATATACCTAAAAATCACCTAATTTCAAGTGTCAAAAATTGAATGGAGTCTCACACAACTATTATTGATTGTGCCTCTACCACCTTAAAATTTTTCACAAAATTCTTGCAATTCAATTTCCCCATCCAACTAATACAATAATAACAACAATATTAATAGATTATATAATCTACCCATCAATTTATTACACAATTACGAAGACACGAGATCTTTCAGTAAAATTTTACCTGAATGCTCACCTCTCCTTCAGAGTTTTAGTTGGCCGCCAAATTTGTTGCAATGAGAAAAAAGGGAAACTAAGCAAATACCTCATAAAAGTATAATAATTACAAACATATACCCCTTTATATTCATATCCTACTAAATAATTACATTATGTATTCTCAAATAATTTAGCTTAACTGATACTAAATCAGTATCATATATTGTATTGGTATCATTAAAACTGATAATTTCGCCTAATTGATACTAAATCAATATATATATACTATATTGGTATCATTAAGGTTTCTTGTTCAGAAATTACTCAATAGTCAATGATACTATAATCAGCCTTAATGATATCAATACAGTACATGCTACTGATTTAGTATCAGTTAAGCGAAAAATTACCAATCTTAATGAGTGGGGGTATGAGTTGTAATTATTTATGAGAGACTAGATATTTCAGGAATTACATTGAGTTTGAATATAAACTTGTAATTATTTTGAGTTTTATGTAGTTTTTCCAAAGGGAAAATATTATTAAACCCTATTTACTCCAATTCATTTGTGCACATGGGTTAAGTGATATAGGCTAATAATTAAATTATGGATTTGATCCATTAACCACCAACTAAAATAAATTATTTAAAATTACTCATAAATTAATAACCATACTTAAACAAATAGTTCAAAATTCCATAACCAATTTCACCGAATCAAGAAATTACTACTCGGGGGCAACTATTGAGAAGGGTAAAATAGTACCCCCTCCGTTTAAAAAAGAATGACCTCCTTTCCTTTTTAGTCTGTTTAAAAAAGAATGACTTCTTTTAGTTTTTGGTAACATTTTAATTTCAGCTTTCCACGTGACATGTTTAAAGCCACAAGATTGTAGAGCAATTTAGTACATTGACATAACTTTAATTTAGGATTACAAAATTCAAAAGTCTTTTTTACTTTCTAAAACTTTGTGTCAAGTCAAACTAGATCATGCTTTATAAAAAGAAGAAAGTAACTTTATGAAAATTTTAAAAAATGACCTTCCGGGCCTTACAAATAATCAAGTCAATTATTAGAAAATGACTGCAATTTGCAGATACATTCTAGGAGCAATTACTAGTATTTAATACCCTGACCAGCTCAGTTAATATAGTGATATACTTGTAAATCAAATCTCTTCATTCACAAATCTTGTATCGGAGATGGCTGCTTATGCTGCTGTAACTTCTCTGATGGGAACAATGCACCTGATTTCGCAATCCAGCTTAGACTTTCAGGAAAGTAACAAAGAATGTTCGAAATCACTCTACGACAAGGTTGGTTCTCTGTTAGAGTTTCTTGACAATTCTGATAATGAACTGATGAAGGATCTGCAGAAAAAGGTGAAAGATCTAGCAAACGAAGTAGAAGATGAAGTCGAATCACAAGTAGTGCGGATTATGGAGAAGGATAAACATATTCAAAAAGAGGCAAATGAGAGGCTTCGTAAGATCTTGGAACAAGCTATAGAAGACATCGATTCTGTGAAGGAAGAGCTCAGCAAGCCGAGGAACAAAAATAACAATTTGCTAGCTGGAAATTGTTTGCTTGGTGGTCCTACTTCACCACGATCGCGTGTTTCAACCCTTGAGAACGGCATGGTGGGGCACAGCGATGAACAAGCGAGAGTGCAGGGTGAGCTTACCGGGTCCTCATCTCAACTGGAAGTCATCTCCATTGCCGGGATGGGAGGCATAGGCAAGTCAACTTTTGCCAAAAAGATGATTTCCGATCCCTCAATTGTGGGATTCTTCGATGTTCGTGGATGGATTACTGTGTCCAAGGACTACAGCTTAAGAAAGATGCTCATATCCCTCCTTCAAGACGCTATTGGCGTGAATGAAGAGCTTGATAAGAAACCCGATGATAAACTAGCTGATTGCTTGCAGAAAAGTCTCAAGGGAAGAAGGTATTTGATTGTTGTGGATGACATATGGAGCATAGAAGCCTGGGAAGATATCAGACAATGGTTTCCAGAAAACAACAATAGAAGCCGAATTCTGTTGACTACTCGGATCATGGAGGTTGCTCGATATGCTAGCTATCCTAAGAATCCTTTTCCAATGCGTGTTCTACATCCAGAAGAAAGTTGGAATTTGTTTTGCCAAAAGGCGTTTGGCAAAAATGATTATCCAGTTGAATTTGAGAATGTCGGAAAGGTAATTGTAGGAAATTGCAACGGATTACCACTAATGATTTCTGTGGTTGCAGGGTCTCTTTCTAGCAAGAGGACGCTGGACGAGTGGAATGAAGTAGCTCAAAGTGTAAGCTCATTAGTAAACCTTGATGATTATCAACGTTGCTCAGGAGTGCTCGCTTTGAGCTACAATCATCTTCCTTCCCACTTGAAAGCTTGCTTTCTGTATTTCGGAGTTTTCAAAAAAGCTACTGAAATTTCTGTGGAAAACTTGATTAGATTATGGATGGCAGAAGGACTCTTTAAGCTGAGGGGAATTTGGGAATTGGAAAAAGAAGCTTATAGTCTACTACATGATCTTATTGATAAAAGTCTAATTGTTGCTTGCAAGCGTAGTTTTGATGGCAAAATCAAGACATGTAGGATTCATGATCTTCTCCATGATTTATGCTTGAGAGAATCTGAAAGTGAGAGTCTTTTGTATGTTTCAAATCCCCCAATTTCAGGTACCAATGTTCCTCAACATCGTCGGTGGGTTTCATTTCATCAAGAGCCAGTGCGAGATTTTTTTTCTCTTCCCTTCCCTACTTATGGTAAAACGCGTTCTCTTCATTTTCTTGCGGTAAAACCGTACAGTCTTGAATTTGAATTAGGATTAGACCGTTTCAAACTTCTTAGAGTATTGGACTTGCTGGGATCAGGCGTGTGGTATTTACCTAATGGATTATCAAACCTAGTTTCCTTAAGGTATTTGAGGGCTGGGTTCATCAGTGGATATCTACCAATTTATAAACTTCAAAATTTACAATTTCTTAGTTTACGTCAAGTTAATAAGTTACAAGCCATTAAGTTTCACTTACCAGATGAAACCTGGAAAATGTCTCAATTGAGGCATCTCGACTCTGCAAGTTTTTATTTGTGTTCTCCTCCAAAGGTATCTGGCAATAGGTACCGGGTTTTGGAAAACTTGCAAAGTGTTCATGGGTTGAGACCAATTTGTTGCACTAAAGAAATGTTTAAAGGGATTAAAAAGGTGAAAAAATTGGGGATTTGTGGCAACAGTAATCACTTCTATGATGCGCCCAAATGCCTAGATAATCTTATATATTTACCTGAGCTAGAGGCACTAAAAATCTTATTATACGACCGTTACAGAAGTGATTTCCTTCATAGGCATCCAGTTCCATGTGTGGGTTCTTTCCCACCGAATCTCAAGAAGCTGACACTTCAAGGAACTCGTCTATTATGGTCGCAACTGACCGTCATTAGCAAGTTGCCCAAACTCGAGGTGCTCCAATTTAAGGCATTACAGTTGTTTGGTGATGAGCGTGGAGAAACTGCCTGGGAAGTATCAGAGATGGGATTTCCTAAATTGAAATTTTTGCTCATAGAGAAGAAGGGTCTTGAATACTGGACTGCCACCGACGATTCTTTTCCATGCCTTGAGTGTGTAATTATCAAAAAATGTCGTTTCTTACAAGAGATTCCTAAAGAATTTGCAGATAGTATGACACTGAAGAGAATTGAGTTATGGGGATGTACTCCTTCCCTTGTGAATTTCGCTAAGGAGATCCAAGAAGAGCAAGAGATTTTGGGAAACAACATACTTCAAGTTTATGCCTATGACACGATTACAGGTAAGTGGAATGATTCTTCAACATCCATTATATGTTTTACCAGTAATTAATTGACCTGATGACTTTGATTCAAAATTTTATGTGAATAACTACTAGTATATCTTTTGATTGTAATAAGATAGGTAAAATTGAATATTTCATATGTATAGACTCTGTAAAAGTGGAAGGGGGGGATGGAATTCATTAGATTGAATAAGTTGATCACATCTCTCTTACATCTTGAGAGGCCTAGTTTAGTCCATTATATTGTTGGGACATTTGGTTATAGAAATTTGTTGGAAATGAAGGCACTTTTGAAAGAGTAGCATGCCAATTACTGCAAAAAAAATGTGCCCTAACATCTATGATAAGCGTACTGGGGAGATGTGATTAGACAGAACATGGTGCAGCTTCAGCTTATCAAGGATATGACCTTAAATCAGAGGGTGTAGAAGTCATGGATTAGGGTAGAAGGTTAGTAGGTAGTGTAGTGTTCTCTTGCTTCGGAAGGGTTTAGGCTTAGTGGTGTACGGTGTCTGTCGTAGTATTTGTTTTATTCTTGTAATGTCTTGCTTTTGCTTTCTATCACCATCTGTTTTTGTTATGGTGTTTCAATTATTGCATTATTTTGTTCTTATTACTGTTTTCTTCCGTATTAGTTGCTTCACTGTATATATATGTCCTATCGAGGAAGATGCAAAGGAAGAAGTATATATATGTCCTATCGAGGAAGATGCAAAGGAAGAAGTATATATATGTCCTACCGAGGAAGATGCAAAGGAAGAAGTATATATATGTCCTACTCTCTTAAAAATATGTGCAGAAGTATATATATGTCCTACCGAGGAAGATGCCAAGGAAGAAGTATATACATGTCCTACCGAGGAAGATGCAAAGGAAGAAGTATATGATAGAAGCTATTTTGGTTTACTTAAAAACTGGTTGCGGAAGATGATTGTTCGAGGAAGATGCAAAGGAAGAAGTATATATATGTCCTACCGAGGAAGATGCAAAGGAAGAAGCTGGTGATAGAAGCTATTTTGGTTTACTTAAAAACTGGTTGCGGAAGATGATTGTGTCATTGTGTGAAAATGAGTTTTAAGCAAGACTCGTGAAGTCAAGGACATTCAACATCTACTATATCCATCAAAAATAAGTTTCAACTTCATATATACCGTGTAAGTCTCCATCGGAACAGGTTTGGTTGAACTCCCTTACTCTGGCATCGCTCCTTGTGGGATTACACTTGGATTGTTATTATTGTTCTTGTTCTTGTATCTCATAAAATGGGGTTGATTTTATCATCAATACTCAAACTAGAATATGTAATAGTTCATTTGTACTTTTATCCCTATTTTGTGATGCTCTTTGAGCAAATAATTTTTTTGTGAGATATAAGTTTATATTTTCATATGATAATATTCTACAAGTAATTATTGTTTTGTACTCTTAAAGTACATATGTAAGCTAAGTATAAGTTCGATTGCTAAGGATAAATTAAAAGACGAAGGGAAAATGGTGTTATTTCTTCTCATTAATTACCATTTTTAGTTGATTCATTAGCTCTTGTGAAAAATTGGTCTAGTAATTTGATTTTTCTTGACCCATTTTTTGTTAAAACTACAACACACGTACATTATCCTACAACAAATGAACCAAAATTTTCTTTCTGTTATCTTGTTTTTGTGTCACTTTCAAATGTTATTATAAGATCATATTTATTAAAAAAAAAAATGATTTCAAATGTATTATTATAACTCGCTTCGGGTTATAGTTTAGGGCTCAATTGTTTGCCGTTAATAAACTGAATGGTTTAGATCTTAGGTTATTAAGTGCATTTGTTTTGAATAAGTTATCATTGAAGTATTGAGTGAAGGCTTAATATTATTAAGACTATGTCTGAGTGAATAATTTTCATATCACTCTATTCATAATTTCTAACCACCATCATTACCATTTCTGACATCACAATTATCACCATTATTATTCGACCATCATTTACGTCGCTAACTATCAGCCGCCACACCAACCAACATAGCCATCAGACCGTCACGGGCAACCACTTCTTAGGTGTAACTGTGATATCTTCCCTTACTTTGTTAATAGTATAAAAGCAGTTGTTCTCTGATGGACGTAGGATCACATTGATCTGAACCACGTTAACTCTTATGTTTTTTCTTTTACTTCTCCGCTAACAACCAGCTCCTCTTTTCTTTGGGGCTGTGTAAGGGTGTGTAAACTTTTCAGAAGCTGACCAGGTCAAAGAAAACTCAGTAGCCATTAGAAATGGCTAGTTGATTTCAAATAGTTATATAATATGCCAGTTGACTTTCCAGCTTTATTAGAAAATGGCTAGTTGTATGTAATGATAGTGCTGTCCAATTCAAGCAACTCCTTAATTAATGCTACAATTTGGTACTAGTGAAATCTTCTGATTGTTTAGTGTTTGAAAACCATTTGACTTAACAAATTTCAAATCAGTAGGCTGACTATTACCTTGTTGTAAAATGCAATTTCCAATATAGATCTGTTCTAGGAAACTTCGAGCAATTACTAGTATTTAATACCCTGACCAGCTCAGTTGATATAGTGATATACTTGTAAATCGAATTTCTTCATTCACAAATCTTGTATAGAATTAGAATAGGAGATGGCTGTTTATGCTGCTGTTACTTCTCTGATGGGAACAATGCACCTGATTTCGCAATCCAGCTTAGACTTTCAGGAAAGTAACAAAGAATGTTCGAAATCACTCTACGAGAAGGTTGGTTCTCTGTTAGAGTTTCTTGATAATGCAGAATTAGCAGATCGCTTACAAAAAAGTTTCAAGGGTAAAAGGTATTTGATCGTTGTGGATGACATATGGAGCAGGGAAACCTAGGATGAGATTAGACTATGGTTCCCAGAAAACAATAATACAAGTCGAATATTGCTGACTACTCGGATCATGGAGGTTGCTCGATATGCTAGCTATCCTAAGAATCCTTTTCCAATGTGTCCCCTGGAACCAAAGGAAAGTTGGGATTTGTTTTGCCAAAAGGCGTTTGGCGAAAAAGATTGTCCAACCAAATTTCAAACTTCCGCAAAGGTAATTGTTGAAAATTGCAAAGGATTACCACTAATACTTTCGGTGGTTGCAGGGACACTCTCTAGCAAAAGGACACTGGACGAGTGGAATCAAGTAGCTCAAGGTGTGAGCTCATTAGTAAACGTTGATGATTATCAGCATTGCTCAAGAGTTCTCGCTTTGAGCTACAATTATCTTCCTTCACATTTGAAAGCTTGCTTTCTATATTTCGGAGTTTTCACAAAAGCTAGTGAGATTTCTGTGAAAAAGTTGATCAGATTATGGATTGCAGAAGGACTTTTTGAGCTAAGAGGACGACTCAGGGATTTGGAAGAAGTGGCTGATAGTCTTCTACATGATCTTATTGATAAAAGTCTAGTCATGGTTAGCAAGCGAAGCTTGGATGGTAAAATCAAGACATGTAAGATTCATGATCTTCTCCATGATTTATGCTTGATAGAATCTGAAAGTGAGAATCTTTTATATGTTTCTAATTCCAAAACAGTTGTTCCTCAAGATCATCGATGGGTTTCAGTTCATTCAGATCGAGGTTTTATTTCTCCATTTGGTACTTATAACAAAACACGTTCTGTTCATTTACCTTATGGAATACTGGAATTCAATATTCTTAAATTAGGACTAGACCATTTCAAACTACTTAGAGTATTAAACGTGGCGAGAGTGAAGTTGATATCTTTCCCTAGTGAATTATCAAACTTAGTCGCTTTAAGATATTTTTCTATGATGGTTTATGGGAGAATTGAATATCTACCAATTTACAAGCTTTTGAATTTACAAACTTTTATTTTTCTTCTAGACTCTAGATACAGTATTACTGTACAATTACCAAATGGAATCTGGAAAATGTCTCAATTGAGGCACCTCCACTGTAGAAGCATTTATTTTTTGAGTTCTCCTCCAAACAAGTATCGGGTTTTGGAAAACTTGCGAAGTGTTTCTGGGTTGAATCCTTCTTGTTGCACAAAAGAAATATTCCAAGGGATTAAGAAAGTGAAACAGTTGGGTATCAGTAACTTACCTTGTTCCAACAAACAGAATAAACACAGCTCAAAGAAATGAATTTTAATTAGACCTTTGTGCTGATAACATGTTATAAAATCAAACTCAAAACAATATAATTATAAAGAGAAGAAGACAAAATAAGTAGATGAAGGAGAAGATTTTTCTTCTTATTCAAGTGTGTCCTCCAAATGATGAATGATATCTCTATTTATAGTGTTGATATATCACTTCCAAAGATCTCCTGGTTAAATGCCAAACTAGTAGATACATAGTTATCCACCTAGGTTCATATCACCTTGGAATTATACATACATGAATTCAATTAATTCTTGAAGAAATCAAATGGATATTCCACTGCTCAATGAATTTATAACATAAAAAAATGTGAACCATTTTGTTCTAATTTTATAAAAATAATTCCATCAAACATAATATATTTGACATAAATTTATATATATATCCTTCTGGATGTTCATGACTAATTAATTTGATATTTCAATGATGAGCTTCCATGATTACCATTGTCCCATTTGTCGAGTTATTTGCAGATCAGAAATACATCTTTCTCTCATTGAACAATTAGTTGGACGCTATAGAATGGAGTTATTTGAAATCCACCCAATTGCCCCATTCTATCTACAAAACTAAAAGGATTTTTATTTTTAATAAATTTAAAGAAGTACATCATTTATTCTATCCGTAAATTTAAAGAAGTACATCATTTAATAAATTTAAAGAAGTAAATATCCTGCAATCTAAATTTGTTTACAGAAGGGTAATTAAAATGATTTACAACAAACATTCAACACCCATTATATGTTTGACTTTTCGTTGTGTTAAACCAGTGGATGCATGTAATTGGTCATGTTAGTGCCTATAAGGCAATGGTGGATGTAGGAACACTTTGAGCTGAACCACGTTAAATCTTGTGTTTTTTCTTTTACGTTTCCGCTAATGACAAGCTCCTCTTTTCTTTGGGGCTGTACTGTAAGGGTGCATAAACTTTTCAGAAGCTGACCAGGTCAATCAAGACTCAGTTGCTTGAACAAGATTGTTTTTTTCCTTAAAATAATCAAGTCGGCACTATTAGAAATGGCTAGTTGATTCCTAATAGTAATATAATATGGTAGTTGACTTTCCAGCTTTATTAGAAAATGGCTAGTTGTATGCAATCAAAATTAGCATATGTAATGATAGTGACTGTCCAACCCAAGCATATGTAATTGTTGAGTGTTCTGTTGACAAATTGACTTGGAAATTTCAATTAAGTAGGCTGACATTGTTGATAATTTCACTGCTCCATTGTAAAACAACTAATCATCAAATCATAAAATCGTTGTAAAAGTAAAGTTGAGAGAGCAATTCTCTTAGGTGTAACTGGGATATCTTCCCTTTCTTTGTTAATAATATAAAGGCAGGACGTAGGATCACTTTGATCCGAACTACATTAACTCTTGTATTTTCTCCTTTACTTTTCCACTAACAACCAGCTCCTCTTTTCTTTGGGGCTGTGTAAGGGTGCGTAAACTTTTCAGAAGCTGACCAAGTCAAAGAAGACTCAGTAGCACTATAGAAATGGCTAGTTGTATGCAATCAAAATCAGCATACGCAACGATAGTACCTATCTAACTCTAACAACTATACAATTTGGTACTAGTGAAATCTTTTATTGTTGAGTGTTTGGTAAACCAATTGACTTAATAAATTTCAAATCAGTAGGCTGACAATTACCTTGTTAAAAAATGCAATTTGCAATTATTGAGAGGAATAAAATAATAGTAACTTTATGAAAATTTTAAAAATATGACTTTCCGGGTCATTACAGGCTCCTCTTTTCTTTGGGGCTGCGTAAACTTTTCAGAAGCTGACTAGGCCAAAGAAGACTCGGTCCAATTATTAGAAAATGGCTGCAATTTGCAGATACATTCTAGGAGCAATTACTAGTATTTAATACCCTGACCAGCAGCTCAGTTGATATACTTGTAAATCAAATCTCTTCATTCACAAATCGAATCGGAGATGGCTGTTTATGCTGCTGTAACTTCTCTGATGGGAACAGTGCACCTGATTTCGCAATCCAGCTTAGACCTTCAGGAGGGTAACAAAGAACATTTGGAATCACTCTACGACAAGGTTGGTTCTCTACTAGAGTTTCTTGACAATTCTGATAATGAACTGCAGAAAAAGGTGAAAGATCTAGCAAACGAAGTAGAGGATGAAGTCGAATCGGAGATGGCTGTTTATGCTGCTGTAACGTCTCTGATGGGAACAATGCACCTTCTTTCGCAATCCAGCTTAGACCTTCAGGAGGGTAACAAAAAACATTTGAAATCACTCTACGACAAGTTTGGTTCTCTACTAGAGATTCTTGACAATTCTGATAATGAACTGCAGAAAAAGGTGAAAGATCTAGCAAACGAAGTAGAGGATGAAGTCAAACCACAAGTTGTGCGGATTATGGAGAAAAAAGAGGCAAATGAAAGGCTTCGTAAGATTTTGGAACAAGCTATAAAAGACATCGCAAACGAAGTAGAGGATGAAGTCGAATCGCAAGCTTTGCGGATTATGGAGAAGGAAGAACATATTCGAACAGAGGCAAATAAGAGGCTTCTTATAATCTTGAAACAAGCTATAGAAGACATCGATTCTGTGAAGGAAGAGCTCAGCAAGCCGAGGAAGAATAACAAGCTGCAAGCTGGAAATGGTTCGGTTGGTGGTACTTGTTCACCACGATCGCTTGTTTCAACCCTTGAGAATGACATGGTGGGGCACAGCGATGAGCAAGACATGGTGGGGCACAGCGATGAGCAAGACATGGTGGGGCACAGCGATGAACAAGAGAGAGTGCGGGGTGAGCTTACCGGGGACTCATCTCAACTGGAAGTCATCTCCATTACTGGGATGGGAGGCATAGGCAAGTCAACTTTTGCCAAAAAGATGTTTTCCGATCCCTCAATTGTGGGATTCTTCAATGTTTGTGGATGGATTACTGTGTCCAAGGACTACAGTTTAAAAAAGATGCTTCTATCCCTCCTTCAAGACGCTATTGGCGTGAATGAACAGCTTGATGAGAAACCCGATGATGAACTAGCTGATTGCTTGCAGAAAAGTCTCAAGAAAAGAAGGTATTTGATTGTTGTAGATGACATATGGAGCATAGAAGCCTGGGAAGATATCAGACAATGGTTTCCAGAACATAACAATAGAAGCCGAATACTGTTGACTACTCGGATCACGGAGGTTGCTCGAGATGCTAGCTCTCCTAAGAAGCCTTTTCAAATGCGTTTCCTAGATCCAGATGAAAGTTGGAATTTGTTTTGCCAAAAGGCGTTTGGCAAAAATGATTGTCCAGCTGAATTTGAGAATGTCGGAAAGGTAATTGCAGGAAATTGCAACGGATTACCACTAATGATTTCTGTGGTTGCAGGGTCTCTTTCTAGCGAGAAGATGCTGCGCAAGTGGCATGAAGTAGCTCAAAGTGTAAGCTCATTAGTAAACCTTGATGAATATCAACGTTGCTCAGGAGTGCTCGCTTTGAGCTACAATCATCTTCCTTCCCACTTGAAAGCTTGCTTTCTGTATTTCGGAGTTTTCAAAAAAGCTAGTGAAATTTCTGTGGAAAACTTGATTAGATTATGGATGGCAGAAGGACTCTTTAAGCTGAGGGGGATTGGGGAATTGGAAAAAGAAGCTTCTAGTCTACTACATGATCTTATTGATAAAAGTCTAATTGTTGCTTGCAAGCATAGTTTGGATGGCAAAATCAAGACATGTAGGATTCATGATCTTCTCCATGATTTATGCTTGAGTGAATCGGAAAGTGAGAATCTTTTGTATGTTTCAAATCCCCCAACCAATGTTCGTCAACATCGTCGGTGGGTTTCATTTCATCAAAAGCCGATGCAAGATTATTTTCCTCTTCCCTTCCCTACTTATGGTAAAACACGTTCTCTTCATTTTCTTGAGGTAAAACCGTCTTATTTTAGATATGAATTAGGATTAGACCGTTTCAAACTTCTTAGAGTATTGGACTTACTGGGATTGGGCCTGATACATTTCCCTAAGGGATTATCAAACCTAGTTTCCTTAAGGTATTTGAGGGCTGGGTTCATCAGTGGATATCTACCAATTTATAAACTTCAGAATTTACAATTTCTTAGTTTTCGTGATGTTTATAAGTATACACCCGTTGATCTTTGCTTACCAGATGGAACCTGGAAAATGTCTCAATTGAGGCATCTCGACTCTGCATTTTTTTATTTGTGTCCTCCTCCAAAGGTATCTGGCAATAAGTACCGGGTTTTGGAACACTTGCAAAGCGTTCATGGGCTGAGACCTGAATGTTGCACAAAAGAAATGTTTGAAGGGATTAAAAAGGTGAAAAAATTGGGGATTTGTGGCCGGGCTAGTCACTTCAAGGATGCGCCAAAAAAATTCCTAAATAATCTTATATATTTACCTGAGCTAGAAGCACTTAGAATCTCATTATACGACCGTTCCAGCAGTGATTTCCTTCTTAGGCAGCCAGTTCCATGTGTGGGTTCTTTCCCACCGAATCTCAAGAAGCTGACACTTCAAGGAACTCGTCTATTATGGTCGCAACTGACAGTCATTAGCAAGTTGCCCAACCTCGAGGTGCTCAAATTGAAGGCATTAAAGTTGTTTGGAAATGAGCTTGGAGAAACTGCCTGGGAAGTATCAAAGATTGAATTTCCTAAACTGAAATTCTTGCTCATAGAGAAGAAGGGTCTTGAATACTGGACGGCCGAAGATGATTCTTTCCCATGCCTTGAGCGCGTAATTATCAAAAACTGTCCTTCCTTACAAAAGATCCCTCAAGGGTTTGCAGATAGTATGACACTGCAGCTAATTGAGTTACGGGGATGTTCTACTTCCCTCGTGAATTTCGCTAGGGAGATCCAAGAAGAGCAACAACAGCGTTTGGGAAACAACATACTTCAAGTTTATGCCTATGACATAATTACAGGTAAGTGGAATGATTCTTCATCATCCATCCATTATATGTTTTACCAGTAATTGACCTGATGATTTTGATTCAAAATTTTATGTGCATAACTACTAGTATATCTTTTGATTGTAATAAGATAGGTAAAATTGAATATTTCATATGTATAGACTCTGTAAAAGTGGAAGGGGGAGGATGGAATTCATTAGATTGAATAAGTTGATTACATCTCTCTTACATCTTGAGAGGCCTAGTTTAGTCCATTATATTGTTGGGACATTTGGTTATAGAAATTTGTTGGAAATGAAGACACTTTTGAAAGAGTAGCATGCCAATTATTGCAAAAAAAATGTGCCCTTACATCTATGATAAGCGTACTGGGGAGATGTGATTAGACAGAACATGGTGCAGCTTCAGCTTATCGAGGATATGACCTTAAATCGGAGGGTGTAGAAGTCATGGATTAGGGTAGAAGGTTAGTAGTGTAGTGTTCTCTTGCTTCGGAAGGGTTTAGGCTTAGTGGTGTACGGTGTCTGTCGTAGTATTTGTTTTATTCTTGTAATGTCTTGCTTTTGCTTTCTATCACCATCTGTTTTTGTTATGGTGTTTCAATTATTGCATTATTTTGTTCTTATTACTGTTTTCTTCCGTATTAGTTGCTTCACTGTCTATTTTATACGTACTTTGATTTGTTGTACTCGAGTCGAGAGTCTTCAAGAAACAGTCTCTCTACCTCCACGAGGTAGTGGTAAGGTATGTGTACACTCTACCCTCCCCAAACTCCACTTGTAGGATTTGATCACTAAGTATATATATATATATATTGTTGTTGGTGTTACATAAATGATCAGCAGGGTAACGTTTTCAACAATGGTTTAGATATGCTCTTCAATAACGTTTTTAACAATGGTTGAAGCTAGATATGTTAAATCTCTTAAAAATATGTGCAGAAGCTGGTGATAGAAGCTATTTTGGTTTACTTAAAAACTGGTTGCGGAAGATGATTGTGTCATTGTGTGAAAATGAGTTTTAAGCGAGACTCGTGAACGAAAGTTTTTTTCGTTTAGTTTAAAGCTGGTTTCCTCAAGGAATTTGCAGATCGTTTAAACATGAAGAAGTAAACAAATGAAGCCAAGGACATTCAACATCTACTATATCCATCAAAAATAAGTTTCAACTTCATATATACCGTGCAAGTCTCCATCGGTACAGGTTTGGTTGAACTCCCTTACTCTGGCATTGCCCCTGGTGGAATTACACTGGATTGTTATTGTTGTTCTTGTTTTTGTATCTCATAAAATGGGGTTGATTTTATCATCAATTCTCAAACTAGAATATGTAATAGTTCATTTGTACTTTTACCCCTATTTTGTGATGCTCTTTGAGCAAATAATTTTTTTGCGAGATATAAGTTTATATTTTCATATGATAATATTCTACAAGTAATTATGTTTTTATACTCTTAAAGTACGAATGTAAGCTAAGTATAAGATCGATTGCTAAGGATAAAATTAAAAGACGAAGGGAAAATGGTGCTATTTCTTCTCATTAATTACCAATTTTAGTTGATTCATTAGCTCTTGTGAAAATTGGTCCAGTAATTTGATTTTTCTTGACCTATTTTAAAAAAAAAACTACAACACATTATCCTACAACAAATAAACCAAAATTTTCTATCTTTGATTTTGTTTTTATGTCACTTTCAAATGTTATTATAAGATCATATTTATAAAAAAAAAAATGATTTCAAATGTATTATTATAACTCGCCTCGGGTTATAGTTTAGGCCTCAATTGTTTGTCGTTAATAAACTGAATGGTTTAGATCTTAGGTTATTAAGTGCATTTGTTTTGAATAAGTTATCATTGAAGTATTGAGTGAAGGCCTAATATTATTAAGAACTATTTCTGAGTGAATAATTTTCATATCACTCTATTCATAATTACTAACCACCATCATTACCACTTCTGACATCACAATTATCACCATTATTATTCGACCATAATTTACGTCGCTAACTACCAGCTGCCACACCAACCAACATAGCCATCAAACCGTCACGGGCAACCACTTCTTTCAATCGTTGTTACACCTATCACTTAAATCATTATAATTATATTCACTTCCACCATCATCGTCATCATCGCAATTGCCACCTCTATCAGCCTCTACCATCACTGGGGTCAATCTCTACTACCAATCACCCCCATCATCACAACTAGCATCGTTGTCAACTATCACCACACATTGTTCAGTTACAATCATCAACCCTGTCATTTACTAGCATCAACTTCACCATCACAACCACCATTATCAATTGTCACCATTACTTCAGTCTCTACAATACCATGCAACTATTTCCATCATATATAGTATCACTACCACCACCACTATCAGCCACTAATAATAGTCATTATCATCATCACCACTACAACCCGTCTCTACCATTGCTAGTAACATAAACATTTTATTTTTTATTTAAATTATATATTTATTATATTTACAAATAAATAAATATGTGTATTCAGACATTGTAAATCAAATAATCTAGAAATAACATCTTAATTGATATACATTTTAATTTTGACATATTAATTTTAATAAAAATAAATAAGACCTTATACACTTTTTTTTTACAATTTTTTTCCAGTAAAGTAGTAGAGAAAGTCGGTGGCACGTATAATAACGTCAGTTTGTACCATGGCATCAATGCATTTAGTCAGCGACAGCTCTATTTTTATTTATTTTTTATTTTTCGTTCGACGTTCATTGCATTTAGTCAGAGAAAGTTATTTATTTTTTCATAGTGCCAATAAAAAAATATATTCTTAATTAATATAAATTTTTTTAAAGAATTGGTCAAGTCAATAACTATTTTACATGTTCAGTATTGACTTGACATAATAGTTAGAGCCTGTTTGGGTTGACTTAAAAAAATAGCTTTTAAATCAAAAATAAAAAGTCAAGCTGAAATGACTTTTAAGTCAAAAAATAAGAAGTAGTGGAGACCTACTTTTGGTTTCTGACTTAATTTAAGTCATTTTTTACCTTGTCAAACACTTCGTAACTTATTTTAAGTTATTTTTTATATTTGTCAAACACTTCCAGAAATAAAAAACTGACTTAAAAGTAGGTTTGACCAACTTTTAAGTCAATCTAAACGGGCTCTTAGAAAACAATTAGGGGTTGTCGGTTGGGAATAATAAATTATCTCAAGATAAGTTATTCTACCATATATATGACGTAACTTATCTCATCATTAGTTAAGGTATAAATCATGAGATAAATAATCTCAGGATTGTCTGATACTTTTAAACAAACACGCATTTTATTCCTGAATTACTAAACTTTTACCTCACACCAAAGGACTCTAAGTAGCATGATAATTTTATTATATCATTTTTTATTATAATAAATTCAATGTTTTATATGTTGGTGGTGGTGCTTTGGAAATGCATTGAAAATTATAATTAATGTAATCAAATAAAGTATGAAATAAGTAATATATATCTCTTCATTTTTTTAAACTGGTTGAGTAAAAGGGAATATTTCTTAGTATATATATAAAAGTGAACGAATAAAATAGCATATATATGAAACCGTATATATGTATATCTATATTAGGGCAGAAACAAAAAATTTAGTTTATGAATTATAGACTTCAGGGGCGGTTCTAAAATATAAGTTTTACGAATTCAATTAATAAAAAATTTATTTAATATTTACGACTTTAGAATTAATAAATTTTTAGTTACCATATATAAATTATTTCTTTGTTTCACAATTTAAAAAGTTGTATTTTTAACATGCCACCTTCTGGAATTAAATATTCAAAAACATATTTATATATCACAATAATATATATTAAACTGCTTAATTTTTTAAATTTCTCATAAATATTTTTTCTCTATGATCATGAGATTCCTTCAAAAATTAGTAAAACGATTTATTAGTTTAAAGTAATAATGAAAAATGCATTTATCCTCCACCTGCCTCTTTTATTACAATTGCTCCATTATCACTTTTATTTATTGCCATCTTAATAAAAATAAAACACTAAAAATGCCTTAAATTAGTTAGCAGTTAGATAAATCTATATGTGAATCGACATGAATGAATAGGATGATTGAAATTTCTTCACTTTCAAAGGTCTCGTATTTGAATTCATGAAAATGAATAAATTTTAGTGTAAGTGTCGTCCTCAAAACTAAATTTTGTAGCACGCAATTCAAATTAATCAGATCTCAATATATTTATCGGACGTCGAATAAAAAAAAATCTATAATGAAAAGACATTCGATCGAAAATGATATAAGTCTCAATTTTTTCAATGAAAATGATGTATGACGTTGAATTGCATGTGAAATATCTTTGGTACCTAACATGATTATGATTAGCATGGGAACATAAAATTATAAATAACTTTGTTTTTCTTTCTTTTTCTTTTTTCATTTTGAGTTAGGTTAGCAATTTAGAGATATAATATTTCGTCGATTTTAAAGTATTTTATCGTGATTTGCAAATAGCTAAAAAAGTATTTAACGAAAATAGAGAGGAGGAATAAAAAATAGTAAGATATTTATACTTGTATGATGTGGTCCTATGAAGGCAATTATGAGAATTATTTAAATTATTATCATTTACGCACGTAGTCCTGCAATTAACACCAACATTTCGTAATTAAAAATTATAGTGAAGCGGTAAGTATTTTCTTATTATTAATTAAATATTTTATTTTAAGTTTAAGCCAAGTGTACGAAAATTTTAATAAGAAACATTTTATTCTAAGTGAAATTTTTGATGAAAATCTAAATTTAAATCAAAAACGAATATTGAACATCGATAGAAGAAAAAAAAATACAAGCTTCCAATTTCTAAATACTCACTTTGGATATGATAACAAAATTCGAAAAGTCAATTAAATACTACACGTATCTGCATAATTTTCAACTTTTTAAATTTTTATTACTCTTATTGAAATTATTGAGAATAATAATTGTCAATCATTATTTTGACTAGGAAAAATAATACTACGTACTGAACTATATATTGACTATAGTATGGTCCAAAGTGGACAACTAGTTAATTGTTACTCCCCCTTTATTCTCTAATCAATTTGATGCAGCAGTACATTAGTGGGCCCGACCCCCAAAAAAAATATTTTTCACACGACGTTCGATATCTGTTTTTAGGGTGGACATGGTATGATATTAAAAATTTTAATTTATTAGTTTCAGTTTTCGATTTTTGAAAAATATTATAGCATTATCATATTAAATCCATTCGGTATGGCTCAATATTTTAAAGTTTAATTTTGATATTTTGCGGTACAATAACTAATAATTATAGTAATTTATTTGACTTTGAATTACATATTTTCATGTCATAAAGAATTATGACTTCAACCGAAAAGTCTCAATTATATCATACTAATATCTTTACACATATAATAATATTCAAAATTAAAGAAAGTACAAGTAATTTATTTAGTTATTCAGTAGCATATAAACGACAGTTCAATCAAGATGAAGTAATCAAAATTTAAACATTTAATAATTAGTTTTGTACTAATAATTTATTTTATTTTTGCTAGTATTATAATAATATATATTATCATATCACTCGTGTACAAATCATATTTTTCTTGTAACCCTTCTGGCGGAGCCAGAAATTTTTTCAAGGGTATTCAATATTATTTTGTTTAATAAGTGAGTTGAATGTTATTTGTTTAACCTAGGGATTCTACAATGAACGATCTCAATATTTGTCAATATCAAATATAAACAATCGAGTTTTTTTTCTTTTTGATGTATTGATTTTATATGATAAAAATATATGATTATTATTTTTAAAGTGAAATATTGATAGAACAAATGCGTCTAGCTTTACGTAACATAAATCACACAAATAGATTTATTTTTTTCTTAAAAAGAGAAGAAGATAAAACGCATGTATTGATTTTAGCTTTGGGTTTAAAGTTGTCAACATATATAAACACAATTTTTTAAAGTAAAATTTGGTTTTTATGTTTTCACCATTCGAGAGTGCATTATAACCTAGATAAAAATTAGAAATACATGATATCTAAATATTCAAAATTAAAATAATGTATTCATATATGTTACTCTATATTATTAAAATTGTAATATTAATAATTAAGAAACTTGAGGAACATAATAATGGTGTGTGAGGTTGTGTTTTGCTCTCAAAATAAAACCAAAAACATTGTGCGCTCTATAGGATTCGAAACCCACGCACCTGGGGTGGAATTGAACACGCTTAACCACTGCGCCACGGAAGAGTATATGTCTAGGTTGTTCAACGTTAATAATTTATCACTTAAACCCAGAATTTGACCTCTCTATATGATGTAATTTTCTGGAAAAGGGTGTTCAGCTGACCACCCTTGAATGGCTGTAGCTCCGCTCCTATCCTTCTTCGAATAAGTTCTCTTTTAAATCGAGTGTCTATATAAAATAAATTTTTTATCTAGCAAATATTAAATTACTCAAAAATTATCTACTAAACAAATATAACATATAAAATTATTTTGGAGACAATACTACTCTTATTTTGGAGCAGCAAAACATTAATATCATTTTCATATTTTTTTTAGACTAGGGGAATAATTTTTCTATATAATGGCAAGAAGACAATTACCAAAATTTTAGGAATACTTTGATGACACAAAAACAAATTTGTTAGTGCTCAAATTTCCATTTCTGTAATTTTTTATTCATTTACTTTGAATAATAGTTACAAATTACAATTACCTAAGTCCTCATTTTGTACTGTTAAGTTTAAAATTGACGTTTCTTTTTCTTTTAAAAATGTATATTGAGATTTAAAATATTTGAAATTTAGATGCATAAATATGCTTAGAGGTAAGATCATGAATAAAATAAAGACACAAAACACACATAGTATTTGCCAAACTACATGAAATGCACAACTCAAAAAAGTCAAAAGTCATGTGCACATGTTTCATAATAAAATAATAAAAAGAACATAAGGACCATGAAATGAGATTGAGAAAAAAAAAATCACACTACTTGTTCACATCAAATTATACAAATTTAATTAATAATTAAATTATAACTAGAGATTAAAAAATACACAAAAATTAGTTGCCATGCTTTAGATTTTACTAGGTGTGTGTTTTGTACATACATACTCAATTAATTTGAATTATGTGATACATTTTTTTAATTCGTTTTAAAAAAATGATACACTATTAAGTATTAAATTTGAGAATACTGGATTTTACTCTTCTTATTTATCCTTGATTGGAAGCTTTTATTATCATACAAGTTGTTTTCATAAATTCATACTTAAGAACATAATTATTAAAGTTTTTATTTTGTTCTTAAATTATATATTAATATAAAAATTAAAAAAATAATAAATAAGGAAAGTTGATATTATCACATTTATGATTGAGTAGCATAATTGAATGTGTATTTATTAACTAAATTTAATAATAAAATTTATGTAAAAACATGTGTCATATGTTCATTAGATTGGTGAAAATATTAAATGCTTATCAATTTTACTTATTTGTAGTATATAATAACTATTCCAACCATATACTATCAATAACTCTCTCACTATAGTAAGAAAAAGTCAGAATAATTTGCAATAATTGATTAGATCAATAAATAAGGTTAGAATATATCTAGCAATAATTGATTAAATCAATTAATAAAGATAGAAATAGCAATCTTTAATACATTAATTTTTGGGTTTCTAACTAGAGAAATTCAAGGGGTAATACTCTTTGTTTGACCAATTATTGTGCTACCCAACCATAAATAGAGAATCAAAAGCAGTAAGTTGATCACTTTCAATTTCAACTTTTTTATTTTATAAAAAATATACTTAGTTTAATATAGTTTAATAATTTTTTATTTTTTTTTATATTTAATACTTTTTAAACTTTTTTTAAAACTACTTTTAGTGTATTTTAACCATTTTATCAACAAAAAAAAGAAAAAAGAAATTTATCATTACTTTTTACCACAATCAACATGATATAATCAATTTCAGTATGTTTATCCAAAATATACACTCTGTTTCCTTTTAGTTTTGTGCGCTTTTCGTAAGTAAATTTGATTAATGTTCAAAGTTAAATTAGATTAAATTAATTTAATATTTTAAACTAAAAATTTAGATATTCAAAACTTATACGAAAGTACTATAAATTGTATTTTTTTTGTATATCAATGTGATAAAAAAATACATCATAAAATGTTAGTCAAAGTTTTTATAATTTAACTCTAAAAAAATAAATCATGAAAACTAAAAAGTGACGAAGAGAGTAACTTTCTTATCTATAAAAATAATAATATTAAATTCCATAAGATGAGGCCCTGATTTCTTTTCCCAATAATAAACACAAGGATCCAAAACAAGAAAAAAACCCAAAAAAAAGAAGAAAAAGAAGAAGAAGAAAATCTCTCTCTTTTTCTTTAAATTGTAGAATTCATTTGCTTTCAAGGAAGAAATCACTCTCTAACACAACAATAAAAACTTACTTATATGGAATATAATTTAAAATAAAAATGTATATTCTCTATTCACACACACTATATATATATATATACATACTGACTCAATATAAATTTCTATATGATTGAACAATACATTAAAGTTCTATTATATACAAAAATATACTAAATAAAATCAAATTTATATTAAACTTCGAATTAAAACTGTATTTCTGCGAGAGACTATTTAAATACTCTTTAACCTTTGGTAAATTTCCAGGTAGTACAAAAGGGACACCATATATATGTGTGGAAAAAGGGGAGTAACAGTTATATGGCAATAAATTCCAAACCCCATAAAAGAGAAAGAAGACAGCAATTCAGAGGGGTAACAAAGCCAAGAATCTGAAAGAGGAAAGGATAAGAACATGACATAAAAATAGTTTTTTTTTTTTTAATTTTTTAATTTTCTTCAAAAAATAATACTAATAATTAATTTAAGGCTGTCTGTTTTCTTCTTCTCTGTTACGTAATGTGAGTGAGTGTATATATATATATATCTATATATCTCTTCCTTTACTTTTTATCTTTCTTCCTACATCTGGGGTTGATTAAAAATTGAGTCTTGAAAACAAGATTCTGGCCCAGAAAGTGAGGGGAAATTTTGGGTCTTTCAAGATTTTTCTTGAACATACAAGGTACTTTACTGTTTTCCCTTTTTGGGTTCTGGTGTGTGTATTTATTGTTTCATCAAGAAGCTGATTAATGGGCTCTACTCTGTTTATGTAGTAAATACTTGGTTTATATCATTTTCTGTGTAAGATCTTTTTCAGATCATTGCATTTTTTGAGTCATTTCTGTCACTTTCTCATTTATATCCACTGTTTGTCATCTTGGGTTTCTTTGATTTACTGTAATGTTGCTGGTTTTCAGCATTTGGGGTTTCTTAGTTTTGTTAATAAGATCTTGGGTTTCATTTATTTTCTTGAATTAACATTTCTGTATAGTGCAAGATTTGATCTTGGATTGAGATTTGAGTGTAATGTTCATAAAAATTGAATCTTTTTTGCTCACTTTCAAGCATTTCATGTATGGGATTACTGTCGGCAAGTGTATTTGTGTGTGTAGTAACAAATGAAGTGTTCTTAACTTATCTTTATTGTACTAAGCTTTAAATCTTGGATTGAGATTTGAGTGTAATGTTCATAAAAATTGAATCTTTTTTGCTCACTTTCAAGCATTTCATGTATGGGATTACTGTCGGCAAGTGTATTTGTGTGTGTAGTAACAAATGAAGTATTCTTAACTTATCTTTATTGTACTAAGCTTTACACTGTTCTTTTTTCCTTTCTTGTATTCATGGTTGTTAGGTGCAAAAATTCTTTGGTTTGGTTCTTTTCTTCATACTTCTTCCCTACATTATTGACTTTAGTGTCTAAGAGGGCCCTCATTGGGACAGCATAATTTGATGAAGTTTTGGGCCCTATATCATGTGGAAAATATAAAGATAAAGTGAACATGTTATGTTAGTTCTAACTTGACCCCTACTTTCAGTATCAGCAGATCTAATCTTATGGTTTTTAAGAGTTGTAATTAATAGCCTGTTTTTGAGATCAGATCTGTTAATGGTCCTCTTGTTTTTGTGTGGATACTAGGATTTTGTATCTAGTTTATTCAAATATCTAAGTGTTGGAGTACTAGAGTTTCAGTAAGTGGCTGTTGTTGTATACTTTTTGGTGAACTTCTTGTCAAGTTAAGTATTTATACTATCCTCCATTGGCTTCTCCGATTACTAGATAGTTTCCACAAACACAAATTCCGCTTCTTGTAGGACCAAAAATGCTTTCACAAATTGATCTTTTTCCGGTTTACTAGTTTTGTAATGAGTAGTGTAGTGTTTTGTTACCTCTCGGATTATCTACCGATTTTGCTCTATCTCCCTTTCTTTTTGTGTTGAAATTAGGATATTGTTGTGATGTCACTCCTTTTTTGTTATCTTTCATTTATAGTGGAACCATTGCATTCATTAGATACTGATTCCTATCTCGAAAACGTGTTTTCTCCTCTTTGATTTCCTAGCTGCTCCCATTTCTACTTTTCATTATAACAAGATGATGGGTATCATATTCTTAACAGAAAAGTAGTGATTGCCGATCGGTATCATATTTTCCCCTCTCATTTGCTTGATTGCTCTTTCCATTCGATTGTTCTTCTTGATGATTCATTTTGCTAGAACAGTTGCTTTAAGAAATTTCAAGTGAGAGTTTGCATGAAGATTTTACTAGTTGAAGAGTTGGAATGATTTACCTGGTTGTTTTGCTCTGATGCAGGTAGCTGATAACTGATAAGGAGGATCAGGAAACATGAAGCACAAAGATGGAAAACCACATCAATCGGATAAAAGTTCATGGAAAGTCCCAGTGGCATTAACAGTTGTGGTGCTGTGTGGGCTTTCTTTCTACCTTGGAGGTATTTTTTGCTCTGAAAGGGAGAGATATGTAGCTGAGGCTGTTAACAAGGCTGTTAACACTCCCACGGGAACTGCTACTGTACCTGGCCAGATCAAAGCCGTTTCGTTTCCTGAATGCAGTGCTGAGTATCAGGACTATACTCCATGCACAGATCCAAAGGTATTATGATTTCTAGTCTTTTTATTCTTGAATTTTGTTCATTGAGATATTTATTTGTTATTATCATGTGGTTCTGTCCGTTGTGTTAATAACCTTTTGTTGATATCACAGAGATGGCACAAGTATGGTCGCCATCGTCTTGCTTTCTTGGAACGGCATTGCCCTCCTAGTTTTGAAAGACAGGAATGCTTGGTACCCCCACCAGATGGCTATAAATCGCCTATTAGATGGCCAAAGAGCAAAAATGAGTGTTGGTACAGGTAATACTTCATGTTCTTGAACTTTGTTTGTCACTACTTTGTTCTATTCATTTGTGGTCATTGAACCTTACTGAAGCTACTGGTCGGATCTGGCTGCAGGAATGTTCCATATGATTGGATTAACAAACAAAAGTCCAATCAACATTGGCTTAAAAAAGAAGGGGAGAAGTTTCTCTTTCCTGGTGGTGGTACAATGTTTCCTAATGGAGTTGGTGCCTATGTTGATTTGATGCAAGATTTGATTCCGCAAATGAAAGATGGGACAATCCGAACTGCCATTGATACTGGATGTGGGGTGAGTCTTTGTCGTGGAGCTTCTGTTTCTATTATGTTTCCAAACATGAACAACTTCTCCAGCAATTTAAGTTTGTTTTTCTTCTTGGGAGTGTTTACTTGCAATTCAACACTAGCAAACGATAACTGGTTCAGTCATATCTATATTATATCTTAGTCTTCGGGTTCCATAGCCTTGTTGAAGTTAACTGAGCACTAACTCATCGAAGCAGTCCTCGTCTATTATTGACAGTCAAATGAAGAAATCCCTATCCCTAGGCATCATCCTTCAGTGTGTCTTTGGTTGCCTTTTGCTATTTCTGGCCTGAAATCATACTGATTTTTTTATTACTGATTTTGGTACATTATCTCTGATTGCAATATCGTGTCTCAACTAATTACTAGACAGGAAAACAAAATATACTAACATAGATGTTTCTCCTGGGAAAACTTATATGTAGTATCTGATTCCAAATTCAGGTTAAGCCTAATGTTCCTCCTTCATCTTCCTCTAGGTAGCAAGCTGGGGAGGTGATTTACTGGATCGTGGAATTTTGACGGTCTCTCTTGCCCCAAGGGACAATCACCAGGCTCAGGTTCAGTTTGCTCTGGAACGTGGAATTCCTGCAATTCTGGGCATCATTTCTACTCAGCGTCTTCCTTTCCCTTCAAACTCTTTTGATATGGCTCATTGTTCAAGATGCCTAATTCCATGGACCGAGTTCGGTAAGTGATCTACTTACTTAGGTAGAAGGTGTATGGTGTCTTAATTTTGCATTGTGTGGCTTTTCCAATTTGTAAATAGGGATGTATCCAAATTCATGCTCTGCGCCTAGTGCATAGACAAAAAAAGCTAGCTATTAGCAGTGATGGTTATACACTAATTCAACCTCATTATTTTCAGGTGGAGTTTACCTTCTTGAGGTACATCGCATACTCCGACCTGGCGGTTTTTGGGTCCTCTCTGGTCCTCCAGTGAACTATCAACGTCGTTGGAGAGGATGGAATACCACTATTGAGGAGCAAAAATCAGATTACGATAAGTTGCAAGAACTACTAACTTCAATGTGCTTCAAATTATTCAATAAGAAGGACGACATTGCTGTGTGGCAGAAGTTGTCTGACAATAGCTGCTATAAGAAGCTTGATAATCCTGAAAACTATCCATCAAAATGTGATGATGGTACTGAACCTGATTCAGCGTGGTACACCCCTCTTCGTCCTTGTGTAGTTGTGCCAAATCCAGCTGCTAAGAAAGTCAAGTTGGAGGCCCTCCCCAAGTGGCCAGAAAGATTGCACGCTGCTCCTGAACGCGTTTCTGATGTTCGTGGAGGTAATGCGGGTTCCTTCAAGCATGATGATGGTAAATGGAAGGCTCGGGCGAAACACTACAAGAAGTTGCTCCCTGCACTTGGGACTGACAAGATCAGAAATGTAATGGACATGAACACCTTGTATGGAGGTTTCGCTGCTGCTGTGGTCGATGATCCGTTGTGGGTCATGAATGTGGTTTCATCTTATGCACCGAATACACTTTCTGTGGTCTACGATAGGGGTCTTATTGGAACAATTCATGACTGGTAATTACAATTTACATGCAAAAAACTCAAGTCTAAACTACTACAATTGCTCTTTTTCATTATGCTTGGTGATGAGGTCTTCGCTTATTTATAGAAATTTTTTTGTTTGCTGTTCTATAGGTGTGAGGCTTTCTCAACATACCCTCGGACATACGATCTTCTGCATCTTGATGGCCTCTTCTCTGCCGAAAGTCACAGGTAAATGCATTTGCACCTCATGTTCACATTGCTTCGTGTCTTAATTGCATTTTGTCCTTCTTCATTTGCATCTCCGCCGAAAGTCATACCCTTGATTACGTCTTTTAGTGAGTCGTTTGACCCCCTCTCAATCAGAGCGGAGCTAAAGTGTTGTCTAAGGGTTCAGCCGAACCCAACGTCTTTGGTTCAAACTTCAAACCCTGTATTTGTCCCCATTGAATATGTACACATTATTATTTAGAACCCATTAACTTAAACAAATTCCCAGCTCTGCTTCTGCTTCTAACTAAATGCCAAGCATCTATGGTTAAGCTGGCAACCATTTCCCTCCCTCTTGACATAAGTTGCGTGTATCGTGCAGATGTGAAATGAAATATGTTCTGCTGGAAATGGATCGTATTTTACGGCCCAATGGATATGCTATAATCCGAGAATCCAGCTATTTCGTAGACGCTATAGCTACTATGGTTAAGGGAATGAGATGGAGCTGTCGTAAGGAAGAAACGGAATACGGCGTAGAGAAGGAGAAGATATTGATTTGCCAGAAGAAGTTATGGTATTCAAAGCAAAATTCATGAAGAACTTTGAACATCATACCATAAAACACAATTGCTGATAATGGAGAGAAAAAGTTATATATTTAAGATTGGCATCATAGGAGATAAGTAAGTCCACACAGCTCATATATTATATATATATTTTGTTCAACAAATCATTGGAAATTGAGATTTTGAATTGAAGAATCAATAGCCAAAAATTAACCATATGCTAATATTATGATGGCTTGTTCATGCAATTTATTCTTTGCAAGGCCCAAAGCTTTTACTTTGTGCACCAGCTGGCCCTCGGAGATTTCTCGATTATAAAAAACGGAGCGTTGTACTCTTTAGTTGTATTCTATTTTTATTTTTTTGGGGAAAAACATCACAGCTCCTTATGTACCTAGATAGATTTGTTCATTTTGAAGACTTCTTGGATGTAATAATTAAAGCTCAATTTTTGTTGTCAAAGTGCTTCTATCTAGCTCATTAAAAGTAGTAGTATCTTACAAGTTACATGATGTTCTATTTCAGTGGCACTTTTGATCATTATGCTTATGAGTTTCCCAAATTAATGAATTCATTAATAGTTACATCATTAAATTATTATGTGTTATGTTAATTTTGGATTATTATTCTAGATTTTGAGGATAATTAGTTCAATAATAGTCTAAATATAAGATATTTTTTATACATAGGGACTAAAATTCACATAATTGTTTACAAAAATATCATCCACTATATTTAGAAGAGACCTCAAGGGTATTTTTGTTATTTTATTTTTTGCAAGGATAACTTACCCTTTCTAAATAAACTTGATATAACTTATCCCAAAAATAGTAACTGATAAGACAATACTTATATTTTATTTCAAAACTATCTATATTTGTCCAACATACTAATATGTCCCTTTTAAAAATCTTTCACAATGCTATTTTTTTATCGAGGAAATTTAATTGATCACTTTATACTGGTTGAAGAATTTGGCACACACTCGATAATATTTTTAAAAGAGTTTGACCAATATGCCCTTGCTTATGTGGGTAAGCCACTTATATGTATCCTATTCTCTTTCACTATTTTGAGCAATTGTTGAATTTGTTTGAACCTTGAGATGACAAGATTGATTATTATATACAAAGGGATTCAACAAATTGATGTTAGACTAATGGAGACTTGCTTTAGTTTGATGATTGAGTAGTGTGAAAGTTAAGTAAGAATGTTAGTAGTATTTATCAAATAACAAAAATCAACTTTGAGATCATTTATAGGCCAAAAATGGAATCCACCAAACCCCTAAACAAGTCCAAAAGCTTCTATAAAATAAAAGGACTTCACACTACTTTTTTCGATCGATAATTGATATATGCTTTAGAATCTCAACTAATTTGAATGGAAGAAGTAATTCAAATAGTCATCACATAAACTAAAATAGTTGATAGATGTGTATACATTATGTACAATATCTTTATAATCGTACATATATGAATATTAATATTTGTATAATATATACATTACTATGTAATATTGTATAATTTATGTATACCTGCTAGGAAAAGTAAATAGTGATTTGATCAGTTATTTGTGTAAAGATTTCATTCGGGTTCGCATGCCCATCAAAAAGAAACTCTTCACATTAGAAGTTTTTTTTTTATTAATCTTATGATTCGAACTCGGGACTTCTGATTAAGAATAGAATGAACTATCTATTCTATCACTTTGGTGGCATCCAAAACAACTGATTGGGTTCTCCTGGTCCATTTCTTCTACATCCACTAGATTAGATTCCAAAAATGTGCTTTGGTCTTTTCTTCTAACCCATTGTTTAGATCTTAGTGTTATCAAGAAATAATTCTACCCAACAAAAGTTTGTCCTCATAGGGATGACAACGGGGCGGGTTAAATCATAAATAGGATGATTAAGTTTTTTTGTCATCTTCACCCACCTCGCCTTGTTTCCCCCCGTCCCATTCTCAATTGATAATTAGGTCATTATTGAAGATTATAAATATCTGTTGAAAGCAAAAATGATAAATCATAAATAAGATGATTAAAGAGAGCTTTTTGTCATCTTCACTCACCTCACCTTGGTGGCTTGGTACCCTTATCCGAATCTCGATTTATAATTAGGTCATTATTAAAAAGATTATAAATATTTGTTGAAAGCGATTTGTTAAGTGATTGTTATTGATATTATCTCTATTATGTACAAATTTGACCTATTTGAAGATGGATGACTAATTGTTAAGACTACCACAACTACTAATTTAAGACATACATCTAAGATTATAAAATTATTTCATGCTTAGCTGTTTAAAAACTAACTTCTAATTTATTGGACTGAAGTTAAAATCTTGAATATGAAATTTGACACATAAATATGAGTATGAAGTTGGGCTCGTATGTCAGCTATTAAACTTTTATTTCAAAAGAAACATTACAATGGATATATGATATATATTAATGACATTGATTTTTCTATATATAATTTTTACCTAGGAAAAAGAAAAGAATTGGGTTTGAAATTTGTCAATATTATAATTTAAAATAAATATTTTTTATTATATTAATATTTCGCCTTTTAAATGAGATTCTTAATTTTTATTTTTAGCCATTGAACTTATTAGTTCTTTAAAAATTGAAGTCATATTTTGATATAACTTATGAATTATTATAATACAAAAAATGTTATATGGACAAAGATTAATTAAAGACCAACAAAACAGAGACAAAAGTACAAATGACCCTGTTATAGTCTTACAAACCCCTCCATGACATGTATTAATTTTGGATAAATAGACCTCACAAATTTGTCTTTCGAACTATATTACATTAAGTTCCAAAAAGCACTAACCATGAAAATTTGATATGATCAATTCTTTACTTTTCTTTCTCATTTTGACGTGAAATTTAAAAACTTGCTAAATTAGATACCAGTCAATCAACTCGTTTGATCAACTTACTCTTTATTAGGAGTGTCATATACACCTTTCTTTTATAAAAACTCGGCGTCCTTACTAAAATTTATCATACCATTACACTTAGCATGATTTCATATACATATTATTCATTTTGGCCCAACAAATCTCATAATTTTTTTTATCACGTAATATCACATTCAAACCTCAAAATCGTGATTATATCTTATAAAAAAAATTCAATTTCCTCTCTTATTCCAATGAATTCACCTTGACATGCATCTAATAAAACACATTTTTATATTCCTTTGGATAATATTGTGAATTGTGTTAGAAGAAATATAAGTAGTTAATTTATTTGGCAACTTTTTTCTAACACGTTGCACTAGTTGTACACCTCACCCACCCACCAATTTGCCAAATGCCAACTACTATTCACAATATGCCACCTCTTTCTGATACAAAAGTACTCTATTCTAGATAACATATGGTATCAATAAATTTTTTATTTTTTATTTAGTGTCCGATATATCACATTACGAAAGGACTAAATTGTAGAGCTCACTGTTTGAAAATTTTGCCAGTTTTAAATTTGAGATTTTTAATTAAGTATAGAAGATCCTAAATTATTTTAGCACAATTCACGTCGATACATATGGTTTTCATTTTCCTATTTTTTTGTGACCTCACATTGTTTTACATTATATGTGTTCGTTGATATATATAGACTATGATGTATCAAGGAAATATTGTTAGGAACGCGCGTCATCCCCAAATATACCATGTAGGGTGTGAATTGAATTTAGTCAGAATTTCAATGTGAACTTTGGACACTAAGTGGGAAATAAAAAAAATATTAATATATTTATTTCAATTTATCACAATTTAATGGAATTCGTGATAAATGTTTTTTTTGGAAATTGTTTTTGCAAGATTTTGATTGAAATTCACTGATTATCGACAATATTCTGCTAGGTGTGTTTGTGAAAAAAACATAAATTTTTAATAGTACATCAATAAAATGAAATATAGTTAGGAGCGTTGAATTCGTGATAAATGTTTTTTTTGGAAATTGTTTTTGCAAGATTTTGATTGAAATTCACTGATTATCGACAATATTCTGCTAGGTGTGTTTGTGAAAAAAACATAAATTTTTAATAGTACATCAATAAAATGAAATATAGTTAGGAGCGTTATCCTCAAATAGGTCATGTAGTGTGTGAATTGAATTTAGTCAAATTTCTGAACTTTGGACATTAAGTGGGAAATAAAAAAATATTAATATATTTATTTCAATTTATCACAATTTAATGAAATTCATGATAAATGTGTTCATTGAAAGTTATTTTTGATAGATTTTGATTGAAATTCGCTGATTATCGACAATATTCTATTAGGTATGTTTGTGAAAAAATCATAATTTTTTAATAGTACATCAATAAAATAACGAGACAAATAAGATTCTTTTATTTTAATCACAAATCTTGTACTTGAACCTTCGAAAAACTTGGGAAATTTGAAACAGTAAATTTAGAATATCAAATTATCAAATCAAAGCTATAGATTAACATTTAAATTTTTTTAACTATGGAACTCATTAAATTTCTAAAATTATATAAATACTTTGGATCGTCTATTATAATTTGTACGACTCACTAACTTTGCTTTTAGATGGGAGTAAAGACAATATATTTTTATTTCAATTCTCAAACAAATTTTTTGTTTTGAATAAGACAATTAACTCCAACAGAATCTTGGTATGCTCACATGGGTTGACACCTGTTTTTATCGAGAAAAACTAAAAAGACAAAAAAAAAATGACAGATATAAAAAAATATTTAAAAAATAGTTTTGTTCTTTCATTTTGTTTTTAAATTTTTTTTATTGTATTGTAAGTATAGCACTTATTAGAGTAGTGATATTGGACCATGTAAAATAGTATATATATTTAGTGATATAAAAAAATATCATTTTATGTGTGATAGATTAATGTAAAACAAGGATATATATATATTATGAACAGAGAGATTAATTATTTCAATAATGTCTACATTTAAAGAAAGAGAATTATTGCACTTTCGTTAGTAAATTGTTAGATGGATAATGTTATGCTCTGAATAAGATTAATTCATAAGTAGAGATTATAATAACAGCTATGAATTAACTTTACCATAGTATTATTTCACATTTATCCATATGAATGAATTAAATACATAAAATTTGAGAGCCAATTAAATAAAATGGCAAAGAGAATAATTTTGTTTTGCATAAAACAATGAATTTGTCTAGGTTGAAGACTTCTTTCTTGTGCATTCAACTTTGTTAGTGTCAATCACTCCTTTGAACAAGAAACTATTTTTTTTAGTATTATGATATTATTATTGAATATTAGATTCTTTCTTTAATATAAAATTGATTTTTTTTTATTTGAGAAAAAAGAAAAGATTTGGGTCATTTTATATACACAACAATAACAAACTTAGTGTGATTTCACAAGTAGGTTATGAAAAAGATAAAATGTACACAATCTTACTTTTATCTTTATGGATAAAAAGATGATTTTCTAATCCCCGATAATCATATATTTACTTCTTTGTT